CTTTCTGAACATTTTCTTTGATATGCAACATGATGCTGCCAAACTGTGTGTTTTTCAAACTTCATGGCAACATGAGCATTCTGTAAAAGATTAGCTATGCTAAAAGTGTTTTGTCCTAAAAAACTGTCAAATGAAATAACAAAGCAGTTACTTCGAATTAATCCTGAAGGGAAATCCAAGTTGGAACTATTCCTTTTAATGGAAAATCTATTCAGTAATTAAAAGCTGACTTTGGTTTGAATAACAATTTTAAAAGTGGATGCTTGGTATTTACTTGTCTTATCAAACTGGTTTTATTTCTGCATATTGTATGTAACTGTACACTTTTATCATAAGTATCTTAGAGTCCTTATATTAAAGTGATCATTTATGTTATATTAAAGTGATCATTTGCTATAGCATATAAAGATTGTGGAGAAAAGTTAAATTCAGCACCATTTAATATATGCAAAATACTGTAATGCTTAATTTTAGGTACCTTTGGTTACACTGGGAGTGACTGTGGTATTTTTTATTTCAGGTGTGAAAGTGGTTTTATCTGTCTCCAATGAAGTCTTCACTGAATGAATGAAGTCATCACTGAAGTCATCGTTCTTGTCATCATTGGTGTTCGGAGGTGGTGGTGGCAAGGAAAATTTTGGAGCACGGCCTTTGAAGAAAAGTATTTGCAAAGGTATTTGAAGTGTTATTTGAAGTGTTATTTTTACAATTCTCTTTTCTTGAAAAGACAGCTGGACCCATTTTTATTCTGAAGTTCTAAATCTTTGCCAACATATTTCATTGCTTCATAGATTTTACCTTGCACAATTCAGAGGCTTTATGTTGTCTTACCTATACTAAACTGACATCCTAGGAGTTCCACTTTCATTGCAATTTTCTGGTGCCATTTTAAGGGGTTAATTCTGAAAAAACGTGCAATAATAGGTGGAATGAAATTATTGCGAACTTCCTGGTAATATTCAGTGTTCCCTTGAAATATCTGCAAAATAACAAAACAAAAAAAGAAAGACACACAGGTGGGTTACGCAAATCTAATAACTAGTCTAATGCTCAGTACACTAATTTTAATAATTTAATTACCAAAAGGAAGCAGTGCTGAATCCTGGGAATATTTCACCCCGAAACAATGCTGTTGCACATCTCCCCTTCCCCTGCCCTGTGCAAAACAACAACGACATAAAAAAATAACAACAACAAAGGGCCCAGGGAGGTGGAACCTCTTGCCTTATTTCATATAAGGCGATTTACCTTTTACAAAAAAAAAAAAAAAAAGAAAAAAAGAATCCTGTCTGCTAATGGTGTTGAGAAATAATTTTAACTCAGTGATGGATGGGTATTTCCCACTTATTCTTCAAATTTAGAGGGCAATTGAAAAGCAGGAGTTACTAGTGCCTTCACATAGCGTAACAGCTAAACGTGGTCTGCTTTGTGAATGGGTATGATATTTTTTTATAATTAAGAAACAAGTCAAGTATGGAATTACACTGGCCTCTAGTGGTTGCTCTAGTGGTTACAAAGACTGACATGGAAGGCAAGGGGTTGGGAATGCAAGATTTAGAGATCTTGCATTTCACAGGCTCACATGGAACCTTTCAGTTCAGGAAGAAAAGGAGACGAAATAAAAAAGGAGCTATAGGTGATCACTCACTGCTAGTCCTTGCTAGCCAAAGCATCCTGGCATATTATTCAGGGACAACTCATAAGCTGACAACACAGAATTGCTTTGGTTGACATTTATAAACAGCAAGCAGATAGTCAAGGCAAGATGCAGAGCAGGCTCATCTACAAACCTCAGTCCAACTATTAGGCTTTTCGTGGAGCTGCTTAAAACAATCTAGAGTACTAGGCCAAATACTCCATCCAGTGACCGTTCCCTTCCTCTCACAGGGAGGGCTCGGGTATTATGTCTTTTACGTCAGAAGTGACTTGTCTTTCCAGGGGAGCGCGCAGCAGTTGGGCTTCAGCGCTGCCCACGCAGCTCTTGGATCTTACTGCAACTCGGACCACAGCAGAAGGGGCAGAGGGAATGAGGGCATGCTTATCTTTAAAATGTCAGCACAGGCCTCACATATGATGAGCAACATTGCAGTGGAATTTTACAGTATAGAATTATGGTACTTACCTACACAAGCCTGAAAAGTAAATATCATAAACACCTAGGATTTTTCTGCTCACTCCGACCACTTGATAAACACTAGAACCCCTTATAACTAGTAAGTGTCGTCACTGTACTGCACAGCAGCTGAAGTGTCTGCGTAAAATCAAGCAGTTAAGAGGTTTAACACACTTCTGGTAACTCCTGTTGGCACTTCGTACTTTATACACAAGATGAAATATTTTTGTTATTGCACTCCTGCGTGTGCATATATTATGCACATTATTATACACTCCCTAAAGTCATGCAGAGTGACTGCAATATCCAACAGGTCTGAAAGTAAACAATTATTCCAGGAGACCAACAATTTCATAGGCAAAAACTGCAGCAGAACAACCCCAGTGGCCTTTAAGAATTCATGTCTGGGCTCCCTGATTCACACAACGTGTCTGTCTCCACTCTTAAAAGATACTAAAGACCCGTGAGCATTACTCATGTGCAAAAATTCTGGTTTGTCCTTATACACTCAGTAATTGCCCTCATGTTCGAAAGCATTGGTTGATGATATAAACATGTAAGTCAATTTAATGTAAACATAAATGTGATACTTCATGTAGGTGCTGCATTGTCTTTTCTTCATCTCAAATTAGTTACCAGCATTTTTATTTTTAAGTATCCAAATAATGCTACCAAACTAACTGCTAACCTATTTGTGATACCAAAATTTGTGATGCTAAAAATCTAGGTACAATTGAAAGTGGTGGGAAATGCAAGCCATTTGCCTTGAAAGCACGTATTCTTCTACAACTTGCAGTTTAGTTTTACAAGTAAATGGCTCTCTGGGACATTTATCCTGTTTTTGGAAAGTACTCTGAATATAAGCTTATTATGATTAAATATTCCTAATGAATGGAGACAGATTAAACGCAGGGGTAAGTCTAGGCTGTTATTTTGAGTAATACAAAGAGGCTACAAACTAGTCTGCCCATTCAAATATTCACAATTTAATGAGACATCACAAGAATAGAGACCAAAGGCACTGGATTTCAATTTACAGCAACTTTTCTGCGTATGAAGGCGATTCTTTTATTATTGTTTTTTATTTTTAGGCCATCAAGTTGCTACAGCTCGCACCAAAGCATCATTTCTTTTGATAACGATGCAAATGACAAGCAAAGTACATTGGTGCATCTTTGAGAGGACATGCATAGTCCAAGCTGCTGCACTGTATTCTTACTTGGGCTGTATCATGCCAGTTGCCACTACTGAAAAGAGGCACAAGCAGCGTTTGGATACTTTAGCTACAAATATAAAAGTCAAAAAGAAAATGGACAAGCCTGTGCCTCTGATGCCCAGCACTGCAACCCTGTCTGACAATTAGCCTCACTTCATGTTTCTAAGGATGAGCATGGAAGAGTGGAGGCAACCAGAATCATTAGTGTTGGCTGTTACCTTTGAACAACACCAATAACAAAAGTAATTCCTTCCTCCAGGCTTGTATTATGACCAAGCTTTGCATGTGAAGTATCAAGATACTAACTCAACCTTGCCTGCATTTCAGTATTTCTCATGGACTCAGATTTGCACAAACATTTGCTTTCTGCGCTCAAAGTGCATGTTTATTGATGAAAAATCACTTTCATAGTCCATTTATACTTAAACTCCCTAGCGATGCCTCTGTGCTTTCCAACAGATCTTTTCAATAGAACAACTGTTGAAACACCATCACATCTCCCCAATTCAAACTTTTTTCTCCTGTTTTACAAAAATGTAAAGAGAGTACTCTAGAATACTAGCACACCTCTGTGAGTGATATTTTCAAAGAATAGAGAAAATCAGCAGAAAAGCTTCCAATCTCCTCAACAACAGAGACAATCACTGACTGTCAGTTTTAATCATTTTTCAGAAAACAACTAAATAGTAAGTCTTGATTAGTCTGGTGTGCGTGTATGTAATACGCACAGGGAAAGCTAAAAATGCACCTAAAAGCAAAGCTGCATCAAATGAGATCAGGCACAGGAAAGGGCAGCTATGCTAATCTTGAAGCCTAACTGTGCCAATCCCCCTTTCTTGGTCACTTCAGTATTTTGCCTTGCAGTTGACACTTTTTGAATGGGCAGTCATCTTCTTACGTTGTGCATAGTAACATAAACAGCACCATCAAAAAAGTCTTACCTATAATTAAGCTCAACATTTGTTTCACTTTATGAACATGCAAGAAAAAGAATATGCTCGAAATATAATGCAATAGCAGCAGAGATTTCCTAGGAAAATATGAGGCCTGAATCTAATTAATCAAGATTTTACTTGAAGGCCAGAAGAGGGCACTCAAAACCTAGCAAAAGTTGGTTTTGTTGTTTTTGTTTTAAAAACCTCATATTCACAGTCTTTTAGTTCATGTGTAGGTTCAAAGAAACGGACCAATCCTGTCGGTCACTGTCTCCTCTTTTCAGGAAGGTTTCCCAGTGTGATTATGTCCAAATAACTTGATTTATAAGGAAGATATTTATACATCTAACCTTGTTCAATAGGAGGGTTGGAAATGCAACAGCAAAGGTATTTTTAATCACTGAAATCTGTTCTATTTTCCCAGGCAGAAATCTGCAGCTCAGATGGTTAAACTTAACTAGGAACTCAGCTAAAACAAACCCCAGCACTCTCCTGCTTGCAAGCACTGCTACCAAGTGCAGAGGTTTTAGTTCCTTATTTCATCTGCTGACGGGATGTTCTGCAGCTTCATCTACAGGCTGGGGACCATTTGCAGGGCTGGAGATGGGAAGAAACAGGCAGCTCCCTGTAGATTATTGTTGTAAGACTTGGTCTTATGACCATGAGGGGCAAACTTAGAGGAGTCAGCTGGAGTGGAAACGACTGTCACACCCCACCTGGAAACACTCTTAATACATTGTAAACAAAAGAAAAAATAGGCAGGGCTTAAGATTTCCCCTTCCTAAAACACACTGTGCTTTTATCTGTCTAAAAAGGAGGGAAGTGGACTAGGAATTTTTATGGAGGAAAAGCATGCCAAATGTTTTCTTGTGGCTTACATCTGTGAGCTCCCTCAGTAGCCACATACACCATTAAAACCAAATATATCTTGAATAGGATATCTTGAAAAACTGATTTAACGAGACCAACTGACAGAGGGCCCTAAATGAACTAAATAAAGTTTTTCTGTTCCATTTGTATGTGACGCTGCAGGCCTATAAAAGAAATGAAAAATGTATCTAAGAATTTTAAGAAGACTGAGGAAAGGCTAGTTCCAGTGGGGTTAGCAAGAATCCATAATTTTTAACAAAATTTAACAAAAACCTCCTGGAAAAACAGGTAGTGCATTAATCCTCTCAGTTTTACAGTGTAGGAAGTTCTGAGAAATCTTAAATATGAGGAGAAAGAGACTATCTTGTGGCTTAGATTAGGTAATTCTTCCTAAAGCAAAAAGGCATTTGGAATCTCAATGTAGCACCGTTTTTTTGGAAAATTATAAAAGGAGGAAATAATATAACCCCTGGTATCTATACTATGTTCAGAATATGATGAGAATCAGAAATCTTAATTTTGAAAAATAAATCCAATCCTATTTTAAAAGAAGTCCAATTATTCTGCAAGGGATGCAGTACCAAATGGTCTACTACTGGAAACAGAAGCTTCTTGTAAATAATATTCCCATCTTCAGACAGTCATTTCTCAATTTCAAAACTGTTTTCAAATCTTTACATATTTCCACATTTTCACATTTCCTTCTATATAAATGCTGTTTGTGATTCAAATTACATTGCAAAATAGTTATTTAATGTTCCTCTCCAAAACTGGTCATATTTACAGCTTTGAAATCTATATAGAACATACCTAGAAAATGTGTGGTATTTTTACCTTATCTTTATCAGTGCCAGGTTCTCTGTACACCATCCATTTCTGCGCATCATCACTGTATAAAATTCTGTAGGCTGACACATAATAGTAGTGCTCAGGTAAGGTTGACCCAGTGGTTATAATACCTGTGAAAATGAAGGTTTCCAGTTATAGAAAAGGCAGGTACCGGTTTGTGAAAATTAGTATTTCATCTTTTTAATTCAGAGTTTTATAACTGGACAGCATCTCCAAAAGTCCAGTTGCATTTGGAAAAGTTTATAGAAGACATCGGGTTCGGCACTGCCTACAGTGGCTGAAATTTCATCCATCGTTTTTATTTACTTTCCTATTTTAGCTCTCACGATCCAAGTTTTCTATGATGCTAGTTGGCACAAGCCAGGCTGCCACCAGCTGCCCTGTGCTCTCTCAACCTCAAAGCAGGAGGCAAAGCATCCCAGAGCACCAGGGAGAGTGGCACATCCAGCGGCCTCTCCACACAAGCCTGGCTACTGAATCGCAATGGATGCGCCAACATAGTTCTGAGGCTCGAACATCAAGCCTCCAGTAAAAAAGCCACCGCAATTGCTTCAACAATTCTTTCCCCGAATTAAGGGGCACAGCAGGTTTACTTACCTGTTATTCTCTTTTCCTTATTCAAGTCTATCTGCAACCACTGCTGCTCATCACTGATGAAAGCAGCCCAAGGAGGCCCAGGCCTTTTCAGCCTGGCATTCTCCGGTTTCCAAATGTTCACTTGTCCCGTGTGGTCAGACCACTCAAGAATAGATGATGCTGTAATCTGGGAATCAGGAATTACTCCAGATTCCATCCCCAGTGTCCCATAGCAACCTAGGCAATTGAAGAGGTAAAGATACAAATGGAAAAATTAAGGTTACACGCAGATTTTTTTTGCTCTGCGTTTATAACTTGACACACAAATGTTAAAATTGCTGACATTTCTATAGAAATGACAGTGCTGACAAAACTCTTGCCCTCCCAGTGGTCCTCCCTGCTCTCTCCCAGTGATGCTGGGCCCAAGCTTCTGGTTTTCAGTATTAAATGATTTGTGCTTGCCCCAGACTAATGGCTACAGAACAGCTCCTACAAATCCCAGCTAAATCCGTGTGGCGAGCAGACATCCCTGCGCTCTTACACAAATCGTGTTCTGCAGTGCCAGAGGGCTTCCCCTCTCCGCCGGGTATTCCGGGACGGATCGGCAGGGAGCAATGTTTGCCTGCAGCTGCTTCCCTCCCGCTGCCGAGCGCGCCGCGGGGCAGGGCCGCAGCGAGGCCCTGCCAGGGCCCCGGCCAGCAGCACCGACATGCCCCATCTCTGCTAGGAACACTCCGATGTACACAGCAGCCTGGGAAAACTAACGCGTCCTGGTCACTGTGCTTGATAATTTAATAGTCGCAAGGTCAGCAGACATGCAATTCCTTGTTCCAGGTCTTGCAGAGGTCTGGGAGAGAAATTACTGGAATATTACATGCCTTACATTTTCTAATTTTTGCTCTGTTGTCTTAATTTTCATCTCAAAACATCCACATCCATCAGCTTCCTGCCTTTACTCCCCATGCAGCACAACTGACCTTTGTTGATGCATTAGGAAAAGTATTTGTTTACTTTAGGAGGGAAGTAATGTATATGATTTTCCATATTTACATTATCTTACTAAATATGCACCCACTGCTCTTGTTAAGATTTGTTATTTAAAGGGCATTAGTTATGAGGCCAATATCTTGATGGTATTTCTAGCATTCACTCAAAGGTGACATTTAGAGCAAGCTACAGAAGGGCTAGTTTCTTTTTACAAACTACAGCTAATTCATCTGAAAAGAAGATAAACAATTCAAAGAAAAATCATGGAAAGTAAGTAAAGCTTTAAAAACTCTGCTTTACCAGTGAGTTTAAAGTAAAGAAGCCACCTTAAACCAGATTATAATACAAGAACAAAACATGAAAGAATCTTTCTGCAGATGAGCGAAGCTTACTAAATACCAGGCAAGAGCAAAAGCTTTTAAAAGAACAACTGGCAGGACAATCACCCTACATTCCTGAGAGAGCAGATTTTGGAATGTCTTAAATATATCTAGGGAGAGCATTAACTTAGTAAAACAAACAGGTATGTGGTTATAAGCAGCTGAATAAAAACAAACTTAAATACTGTATTTGTTTATGTATACATGAAGCACTCCACGAACGAGTGATCAAAACAAGCCAGTAAATTAAAAAATATACGTTACTGAGGAATGCCATTAAAAAAAATTAAGAAATAAAACACATGGACACTTACTTCTCCTCATAATATTAGTACAAAAATAGCAACGTGTACTTCACGTGCTCATGCTTACCGCTTGTCTTAAATGTGAAGAGACTCGTAGATAACGGTCCCCTGCAGAGAACAAAAGAAGCCGGGTTTTGTGATGGTCAGCGGGCAAAACAAACAAACCCATGGCTCATTTTTCTTATCTGACTCCTTGCCTTTGAAACCCATGCACGTATGCCTAAAGAAGCAGCTGGAGTCATGATCAAAGTAACAAAGTTGAAAGCACAAATCAAGCACTTTAAGTGCAAATCCCTTTTCACCTGAAATGTGGTTGAGAGACATATCTATATGAAAGGTATTCAAACAAACCCAGCAAAATATAAGAGGTTCATTAAAATGTTTATCAAGTTAAGCTAGCAATAGAAACAAGAATCAGTCGCCTTGGGTCACTTTCAATATTGGGACGTCTAAGATAAAGCACCAAATGACACTGGTTTTCCTTGCACAACATCCCTCTTCCAAACATCCACTCACAGCTACTATAGAAACACCAATATATTGATTGAATGCAAGTGCAGTTCTGCAAGCTGCTGTACGCTTCAATCTCAAAGACAGCCTAAGGGGGGCTGTCTAAGCTAAGGGCGGGGGGAAGCTTTTGATTTTCCAAAAGCATTGTATTCAAACCCTCACAAATGTCCACCATCTCCAAAATACGATGCACTGATATTTTCCACACTCCCCAAGAATCTGTTGCTCATTATGGAGACTTCATCTGGCCATGTCCCCCGGGGCGTTCCCCCACCAGCGCACGCAGCTTGTCGCCAGCGCTGCCTGAGCTCCCCAGCCTCCCGTCAGGACTCTCGGGGCAAAACCGCGCTCGCCAAGGGCAAGGGACCTTTGCACATCAGGTTCCTACTGTCGCTACCCAAATCACGCAGCTACCATTACCACCCTACTTTTCTAGGGTTTTGTAAAACAGACAGGGATACACTGCTGAGTAATTCCTACGTACCAGACTGCACTACAGCTCTGAGAAAAAAAAACAGCAAACCTCCTCTCCCCCTTTTCCCTTAAGGGAATCCCACGTACATTGTTCTGACATGAACACAAGATGAACACTGTGCAGAACTATCTTGCGAAAAAAGTTCTGTGAGAAAATATTATCCACCTTATATATCTATTGTCCCCTTCTTTTTACAGAAAGGGAACAAGAGTACCCTATAAAAATAAAAAATGAGTTAGGAATGACAAACTAGAAAAATGAAATTGGGCTCTAAATTGCATTCAAATTACTGTTTAAGATCTGATGTTCACACTAGTATTTCAGAAGATAAAATTCCTTGTAGAACTTGGAAAATCAATCTTTATGGGCTAGGGGTTAAAAACATAAAGTGATAACTATACCGCAGCAAGAGAGCACCATAAGGACATTACAGAACAGAATTTGCCCACGGAGGAGGCAGCTCACTATTTAAAATTGCTCCCAGGATCAGAGGCTGCCAAGATCCCCACTGCTCAAGATAAGGAGGACATAAGAGATACACTTACACTTTTGAGGTGACATTGTTAGCCAGAGAGCCTTCGTAATAGGGAATGCCTTTGCTGATGACAACGTTGATCTGGCCACCCAGCGTATTCGACACGACGCCTGCATGAATGCCAGCCATGCAGAGGGAGGAGGACTGGAAGAAGGAAGAAGAAAGATGTAATGCTACGTTGTAAATAAATAACCGTAGATAAGAACGACACTGCGAATAATACATTGTCCAGAAATATTCTGTTGTTATTATTCCATAATGCAATTGGTATTTGTGCTTCTGTTAGAAATTAGTCATTTTTCTTTTATTATGTGTTTTTTTTCTTTTACACTAGAGAGCAAAGTGCGACACATACGCACATAGAAAATCTTCTAATAGAAAGCACACTATAAGTTCATTAAGGACTGATGCACTGCCCATTTTCTAAAGTTTAGCTGACGGTATGTGTTTCTTGTTTTAACTCACAGTTGAGCATGGTATAACTATCCACCAGTATGACCCACACAAATGGGAAATAATATGTGAATAAAATGTGTTCCAAGGATTCCCATTATCTATGTTGTACAGGCTCGTAGAGATCAATCAGTCAGAGCCCCTTTGCAGGACACCCCGTTCCTCCCTTCTCCCCCAGGAGACTGTTACTCTGGATCTGCCAACACCTGTGGTAGTCACACTTGCGCTTTTTCCACCCAGACAGGACAGACTTAACCCTGCAAGTCAATATTTGCTGCTTAATTGACAAGTATTTTGGAACAGGCCCTCGAACCTATCACATAGCTAGAGCAAAGCTAGCAAACCATTATTTTATTTTAAGCACTACTGCAGCAGCATTTTCTCCAACAAATGAAACAAGTGCAAAAGGGCTCACAACAGAATAAAATTCTGTTATTTTAACACTCGCTCATCTATGACTGGTCTTCCTGGCTTACCAGCTAGCCGTGCTGCAGAGGGAGGAAGCACTTTTCGTAAAAAAGGAGAATTCATGAATGAATTTTTTCTCATATAATTTAAAGAAAGAAACAAACAAACAAACAAAGAACCATCTTCTCCACTGTGGCGTCTCTAGAAAGAACTGCACACTGCAGCAGTCCATGATGGCCCTGTGTCCCAGGCACACTGGGGAAAAGAGCTGCTCGCTGACACTTTTCCAAGGGTAGTTCTCCCTCTCCGCTTCCCATCCTCAAAATATCCCCCCAAAATTCCAGAAAATGTAACTAGTTCTGGCTGATCCATTCACAGCTCCCCTTTCCCTCCTACTTGTCCCTGGAAAGGGCAGGGGTGGAGCAGCTGGTGGAGGTCTCCTCGCTGCACACTAGAGGATGTCAGTAACACGCACCCCAGGTCGCCAAGGCCTGGGGACCTCAGCGTCATACACAAATGAACCAAGGTTTAGGGCGGTTTAAACCAAGGAGCAGCTCAGACCATTAGAGAGGGCTGCAAGAGAAAGCTCTGCCTGAAACCTGATCTAAAGCGAAGGACAATCTCCTTTCCTTCTCTATCACTTGATGTCTGGGAAATTCTCTGCATTCTATTCTGAGCAATAAAATATACAAAAAGAAAGTCCCAGAGAATTTACTTCCCCCAACCTCCTTTTTCTTTCACAAAAAGGTGCTTTTTCCCAGATTTTAGGATTAAAAAAAAAGAAACTAAGAAGCAGAACTCCTACAGATGCTGCAAACCTGTTAAGCAGAGAATCAACTTAGTCTTACTGACAGATACAAGAGCTATCTGACTGCCACATAGGGAGAAGTTACTGTGGGCCAGCACATGCAACATATGTGGTGGCAATACTGCACCTGGGCCTAGCATTTACAAATATTTGAGAAAAGAATATCAGAGACAAGCACACTTTAAGTTCATGTTAAATATTAAGAATCCTTGCTTATTAAAATTTTTAAATTCTTTTTTTGTACTTGAGCTAACTGCTTATTAAAATAATATTTTAAGAGAAGTAGATACAGAGGTTTAATTTTATTTAATTTAATAGCAAAGTGATAATCATTAAAAATAAACAGAGCCAACAACTTCCAGTACTATGGCAGATACGCCAGTTCAGTTACAAAAGCTGACATTTGAAAAGTAGAGACAAAAGCTTTTGTAGATTTCTTAGTACACTTAGAAATTTTACAGCCGCTGAGTGCCAACAATATCACAAAATGAGATATGGAATAATAAATTAGGTAACCACTGACAGGCTTGGTGTAGAGAGGTATCATGGCGGCATAAATTAGATGACACCATTAAAAAAAATATATGTGACCTTTTCACACTTGAGAAAGCCAACAAAAAAAAAAGGAGGAAGCATGAAGAAGAAATATTTTGGTGATCCACCTTTCTCAGCAGACTTTACATAAATGTTTGCATCTCTAGCATGCAACGCCACTTGGAAGGGGCTACATCTGAAGCACCAGCCATTCAGCAGCTGTGTAAAAAAATAGCAGCTTATTCCCTTTCAGAGATACAGCTTCCAGAACGCAGTCAGCAAGGCTAATATGGGTAACTACAGTATCGCTGCAACCATATATGTTTTTGTTTTTCTAAACCAAAATTCACATAAGCCCACATTATTCAGTTTACTTACATCTCTGTATCCATGGGGAATAGTCCCAGAAATATCAGCAAAAGGAATCACGCATCCGGCTGGACAATACTTACTGGAAGAGAAAAAATATCAAGCCAAGATATGCATACAACTACAACTCATATATATATTCAGATATATATATATATGTATACACATATATATTTTTATATATATTTTACACAAATATATTTTTAAGAGGCAGTATTTTTTGATTTGCAATTCACTATGTTATCATTCATACCCTGTTATGCAATGACATATCCTAATTCAAGATAGCTATCAAAGCAGACAAAAACATATTCATGAAATACACAACAAGATAAGATCCCTTTAAGAAGACATTTAAAGGAATATCTCAGTTGAAGGAGATAGTTCCAGTTTGAATGCAACAAATTAATATACCAAGCATTTTATAATATAAATAATGCAGGACTTATGTAAGTTGGAAATTGCTTGCACATGCAAGTCCCAAAAATTGTGAACGTATTTTGTAAGGACTTCTGTATCTACATATTCTGCTTCTTTTAAATAGTGCACCCGAAAAGTAATGTTACGTTATAACAGCTCCCAGCAATGATTGGATTGTAAAAGAATGACTAAATTTCATTTATAGTACCTCATCGAAAGCGAGTGGAGAGGCAGCTGTGCCCCTGCTGCATGTTTGCACTTTAGTGCTATTTTATACTGTGCATGCAAAAGCCATTCAAACTTAAAGACTCTAAAATGAGTTGTCAACATTTTTGCAGCAATTCAACCACAAGTGAAAGGAACCGCAGGTCCCATGGAAGTGATGGGGTGTGGAGACTGCAGCCCATGTTGAGTAAGGGCAGAATCTACAGTGAGAGCCTTGATTTGGGGCTTGGGGCAATGAAGAGAAATGTAAAGACTGCACCTTGAAAGGTTTCATGATACCAGGACATAGGATCTCCAAATTGTTAAGTTTACAGAATTCATAATAGCCTAAAGCTTCGAACACTGCCCTTACTTTATATGGAAGTGAGGAAGAAGGAAAAAAGGGAAATGAATATGCTTCCTTTATCCGAAGAAATAGCATTTTATATCTCTATAGAACCTCATTAATTCACACCAAGCTGGGAGATGCGTTTGTGATTTTTTAACCCATTTTGTAGTTTAGTGTTCTTTTGAAAACTACAATATAAATTTCAGTACTTTAGGTACATATGTGCTGTAATACATTCTTTCTACAGGAATAAGATACTCTAAAAGCTTCTATGTGTTAGTGCAAATTAATGAGGCTCTACTGTATACTGCACGTAAGGTTACGAAATGGTAGACAGGGAGAAAGGAGAAGTGACAATGTCAAAAATATTCAGCTCTGATTTTAATTATTTTGTTTCTTAAGTCTTCTGGACGGATAAATTTCAAAACGCATCAGGTGTAAGTAACAGAGTGAACAAGAAACTTTACAGTGACTTCCGTAGAGAGGAGAATGGTAAAACAGTCTTACTTGAATTCTGGTTCAGAAAAGTGACTCGCATTCTCTAAACAGGTAATGAGGTCTGGAAAAAAAAATGGCACATCAAGGGGATGATAAAAGAAAACAACTCTGATTTTTAAAAGTGCACAAAAAAATCATACATCTGAGTGTCTCCAGCTCAACCAAAAGCCTCGGACTGAGAAAACATATTCTAATGAACAGTAGCATTGCAATAGATTTTGTGTTACAATAAACCTTGATAATTTGTCTGAGTAACTGTGAAGCCAAATGAGAATATTGTGATGACAAGAAAAGAAGCACTTCCAACTTGTATTTTGTGCAGCCTAATTTTCATGTATAGCTATGCTTTATAGAACCTGTGAAGGCAACAAACATACACGCTTTTCACAAGAAATAGAAAAGTAAATATGCTAGTCAAACAGGCCTGAGTTTTAAGCATTTAGCAGTTCTGCAGCAACGAAAAGGAGTAGCACAGGAAACCAAGTTATTGGTACTCACAACTGATATGTCACATATTATGGTTCTATCTGCTTTGGATCAGTATAGACTGTTAAGTCCAAATTACAAAGGAAAACATCAGAAAACCCACATAATTAATATTAAAAATATAAATTCTTCTTTTACGCTTTTTAGAACTATTCCTTGCAATGGTATTCCTCAAACTTTGTGCCTTGCAAAGCAATCGTTGGCAATCCTTGGTTTCTTTATGGCCTAAGTTATTCATGTTTACAATCAGTGGAGAGAGATGCAGAAAAAACACAGTAGTTTTGCTAAAGGCTGGAGTCACCTAAAACAAGGTGGTGGCAGGGAAAAGAAATGGCAAAGAAAAGTAAAAAGCAGTGAGCAGATCACACAAGTAGAGAGCTGTGGGTGTACAGGAGCCTGTTAATGAAATAAACTTTTCCATGAGATGGTTTGATATGAAATAATAGACACGTTCCATAAGAAAACCTTTCAGATGGTTCAAAACCTTTCAGTCTGCTGTCTTGATTATTCTGAATACATTTATTGCATCCCTTATCCAGATAGTTTCATTCCTAATAGCTGACTGTGATTCTTACTTTTAACCTTTCAGTCTGCTGTCTTGATTATTATAATTCTGAATACATTTATTGCATCCTTTATCCAGATAGTTTCATTTCTAATAGCTGACTGTGATTCTTACTTTGTTACACAAGGAAAGCCTTTGATATCCTATTCTTAAACTACAGCAACTTAAACAATAACTTAACCATCCAGTTTCCTTGACAGAAGTAACAGGAAGACTGCTTTAAAATCCTTCATTTTGGAATTTGAGATCAAAGACTACAGGATTGGGGCTGCTTTGTGAGAACAGACTCTGATAAATACCTGACTTGTCGGTGGTCGAATACGACGCCAGAAATCCTCGCCCAGAAGTGTGCGTTCCGCTCATGAACTGCACTGTCACTTCATTACTTCTCGAAGTAATTAAACCATCCATCTGAAAGCCAAAGCCACAGTATTTTCCTGAGGGAGGGACACACACACAAAACAATGTAGGTGATAAGCATCTCTCTCTCTTCATATGTAATGTAAACTCATGTTACACCTAGTGCATAGTCGAAAACAAACCCACGTACATGATACTAATAAACGAATTCAGTGTTCATTTAAAGCAAATAGCAGAGTATGGGTACCATACTGATTTTTCCACCATCAAGAGGCCACTAACACCTTAAAATACTTGCCAAAAAATGTGACCTTATCTATGTATGCAGAGTGCTCACATTTAGTTTTTCAAAGATCATGGGAAAGCTATTAAGGAAAAGGACCAAGCTAGGGCAACAATCACCTAAAGAAGTGGATGCAAGAGAAGGGCCTCCTCCTCTTTCCTCGGTTGGTGGAGTGGCTCTCCCTTGTTTACTCTTCCAGGGTTTGTCAACTGCTTTTCTTAATTTTGTACATCATTCATTGCACTTCAGTATTAACATCAAAACATATCTGAAAACCATTACGATAAATTGTCAACTGGTTAATTTTCCATTTCCCATTGCTGCACCCAGAAAATCTGAGAGAGATACTGGAACCAAAAGAATAAAAATAAAAAATAATAATAAAAAAGATGTACCAGCTTGCACTAATTTTGCATCTGAATATTTCTTCAGTCATCCAAAAAGATTAGAAATAATTCATTTCAAAGTGGGAAGCTGCAATCTGCAGTTTTGAGAATATTTGCCTATAAAGTCTAAGAATTATCAAAAGATTTTACATTACTTGGATGGATGGCTGTTAAACAGATCCAAGTCAATATGAAAATCAGCGATCCTGCTAACAAGAAACTATAGCAACCTATTAATAGGTTTATCAACTAGTTTAAAGAAAAATATCTTGTCTTCTACAGGCTCCCAATGATATAAAGCATCTATGATCCTATTTAAGATTTTTGTAGTGGATAATCACAGTTGCAACTCCACTTGACATATTTGTCATCGGCTGGTAAGAATGTTATCATATTGGGAATAGCAAGAGAGAAGCCAGACTCCCTTCTGAATTATGGAAACAACAACACTTAGATAGAGGGACCGGGATAACAAAGAGAAACAGTCATAAACAAATATGTTAATACATATTAAATGCCTTTAAAAAGTGAACTGTTCTCTCTCAAATATTATTAAAATAAATTATAAATATAAATTCCTATCCTTCTTCAGTGAGTGTTTTCAAAATGTTGCTTATTCTGATTGGGTATTTTCTAACGGAAATGGAAAATAGATAATTTTAAAGTATTTTAATTAAATTTCTGAAATTATATAAACATAAGCTCACTTTAACTCATTGTGCAAGCTGCCCATCAGCAAGTATTACAAAAGGATAAGTTATCTTTTACCAAGGCTCCACGATGATCTTACGTTTTGCTCCAATTCATGTTTCGGTGCTTAAGTGCATTCATTATGACAAACAGCATCATGTTCCCATCCATTTTTATTTATTTATTTATTCATTTCATTTTTCAGCCACTGGATGTCATTACACCATTGACAAGCATAGCCCTCTCAGGGTAGGCTATTCAGAGTGCCCTCAAGATACCATTTAACCTCTTTGGGCAAATGCACCCAGCAAAACATTCAAATCCAGCTTGGGAAAACTACGCTGTGTTGCTGTGTGCCACACAGATACAGCCTCTGAAGAAGAGCAGAGTGTTGCACCTCATGATGCCTTTTTTCAGCTATAAATCATCCTTCTTGCTCTTCCCTGGCTTCTCTTCAGATCTTCAACAAATGTTTTAAATAGGAGGCACCACAAACAGGCAAAATGTGATTGTGCTGATGACCCTCAATGCCATATACAGGAGAGGTAAAATTACTGATCTGCCTGTGTTGATGCACTGAAGGAGTCCAGCGTCCTTTGGCTATAGCAGCACTGCAGGAGGTGGGCGAACTCCCACGGCAGCTTACACCTTTTGGTCCAGCAGAGCCAGCCTTACACAGAACATACAAAATTAATCTGTCTGTAGTTTGCATTTTGGTGGGATTTCAATGGAATCTGACACCAAACACCTCCAGCTCTCATTAAACTAGAGGATTTAAATCTTCTGGTTTAGTGACAAGTGTTCAGAAGACTTGGAATGAGAGCTAACCCTTGAGCTTAACTTATTAGAGACCTTTTCCACTTATCAATGAGTCAACCCACTGACAACTCCAATTTGAATCTAAGTAACTAATTTTAACTCATTTCATATTAAGAATGTTATCACTGACTTTCAAATATTTTTCGTAGAAGCTTTCCAAGGTTAGATCACAATAGCAGCAACTAAGGATAAATCCAGAAAAAAAAATCTTCCAAACAAATTTAAGCCACTGTGTCTAATCTCACCATTGTTCGTTGTTCCAAACATGAACATTTAAGAAACTGCATCATCTTTATCTGTCAGTATTAATATCTGTTTGAATTAATTTATTAAGAGCAGAACAACACACACGTTTGCTGAGCACACTGTGCTGCCACACCAGCTGGGAACAGCTGAAAGTCAAGAGAAACAAATGAAGTAGAAAATTTACTCGATCCCATTAAATCACTTGTAAAAGTGAGTAATAGACTTATCAGAACTGGACGTTCCTTGCCATTTAAGGACTTCAGTGTTTTGCTATTTTAGAGCAAGTCTGGCTCAACAGCTCCAAGCACATACTTACCTAGGTAACAGTTAGACATGAGATTTAAGCTAACATTCCTCTAGCCTCTTCATTAAAGACCGATTTAGGGGGAGCAGTATTTGAATCAAACAAAAAACAGCATGCTGAAGTAAATACCTCTATTTCCATACATTAAAGTGTTAGAAAAAAAAGAATCAGCCCAATAAAATATAATTTTAGTGGATAAGAAACGACAATTCATTTTGAGTTTAATGCAAAATAGTGACAAAGATCTTAAAAAAGCCCTGCACACACCTCAGAGCAGATTAGTTCTATTTGAAGAGAGAGAAAAAAAAAAAAGACAGTCAGGAAGTTCAATTTGTGCTTCGGAAAAAAAAAGGAGAAAAAAAGAAGAATAAAACAAAATGGAAAAACAAAGAAAAATAGACAATGCCACAATAAGGTAAGTTTGGCAGGGTTTCCCCCAGTGAGAGGCTCAAGAAAAAACACAACTCTGATTACAGAATTATTAAAATTCCTTTCTCTTGCTCATGCGAAATTCCCGTATATAGTAAACACGATTTCTCGTGAGACTCCAAAGCCCACACAGTACAAAATATTGCATGTATATATCTGGCAAGGTCTCTGACTGCCCAGAATACAACTGAATTGCAACAGATTTGCAGGACTCTAGCAGATAACTGAATATCATACACAGAGTAGTCGCTCCATGCTCAGAGCAGGTTCATGAAGGTACCTAGGAGCAACAGAAATGCTGCCACCACAGCAGCTTTCAAGCAGTGAAAACGACTCCTACCTATCTCTGTCCTGGTGGGGCCAATCCCGTTGTGAACCCTTAGGTAGCTGGAATGACAAGAATCCGAGTCATCGATATCGAAGTCCCCGAATTTGAGCTGAACTCTCTGGCCAGGCTTCACCCGAATCTCCCACTCGCAGACTGTGCTGTTGGGAGACGTCTGCGGGTAGTTTATCGAAGCGAGAGTTCCGCTGTCGGGGCCCAGCACGGTGTGTCCGCATCCATCACCTACAAAAGAGCAGAGATGAGTCAGCTTCAGAGCACTCTTCGTCACGGCTTCGCTGGCCGCTCCACACTGGCCACCTGAACGGGGCTCCAGCATCCCCTGCCCTTCTTGGCCCTACTCAGACAGTTGGGAGAAAGCTCCAAGGCAAGTCCCACACAGAGGCAACAATGGTGACAAAATACCTCGTAACTATTGCTTCTTGGTGCTGAAGTCGGGATCATGGCTGATCGGAGAGTTGCTACAAATTTCATGGTCCCTCAGCACTTGGGTACACAAGAAATGAGGTTGTGGAAAGGACGGATAAACCCACTAAGGAAGCAAGAGTGCTTTCCTATTGCTTTGCACTTGTTGCTGCATTTGTAACAGGATGGGAGAGAACACAAGATTTGTTAACATAGGGGAAAATTAGCACAAGTTCAGAAATCTTACAATGAATCGAAAAAGAGCAAACTGATACATTTAGTTACTCAACAGCTCAATGGGAATTGCCCCCAGCAGGTAGTACAGGAAGCACAGGAATTTATATGTTGCTTGAAAAGAAGAATGTTATTACAGAAGCATCCACCCTTGCTGGCTCCTCATGAGTAGCTGTATCAAGATGTACTGCAGTATTTCTGAGTACAAGGCCACATGCCACAAAATTAACACTTGCAGTAACACAGACCAGCCAAGCAAAATCTCTGACTTAGCCTGCAGTGCTAATAAAGCTAAAAAGCCTATCTCTTGAATTTCATTACATGAAACAACTAAGGCAAGCACAGTAGTATCACTCTCAGGACTTGAGTCTAGAAGGTCCAGGGTTCTGGGCCTTCTGGACGCACTACCCTAAAAGTGATCAGAGCCCTTCAGAATCCTGAAAAGATCAGACATCATCATGAGTAAAGCAATGTAAGTGACAGGACTACCATCAAAAATCGGATTACATACACTGCTAAAAAAAAAAAAAAAAGTGTCTTTGCCAAACACATTTATTACTTGTAGATCCATATTGTTCCTCACAATCCGTGCCATGCATGCAGAACCTACAAAAGATTACAACAGAATTACCGTCCCATTGTGGTTTCTCACTCTAGAAATCCACAGTGACACAAACACCTACTGATATTCATAGTATTGGTCAACAACAAAAACTTACAGGCTGAAACTCTTTCATAGTACAAACTTCTGCTCCTCTTCTGAACTTTAACAAGTAACCCATGCTTTTTAGACAAAAGTTGTACAGACATTTAACAATTTTAACTGCATTGAGAAACTCTTAACAAACAGACGCAACAGCGAGTCCCAATGTGCGTGCTGAGCAACTTGAGAAAAGCAAACCCTGTAAAACTGAAGCGTGTTTGATTAATGTGCTTGCAAAAGCACATTGCCTTTAGTAACAATAACTATTCTCTTTATAATCCGAGTACCTCAAAAGATAGTTGCAAGTTCTAAAAGCTGGACTGCTGTGAGCATAGCTGCTATTGCAAACAGATGGGCGCCGTGAGCTCCTTTCTGCTAGCAGTCTTGACTCAAAACAATTTACCTGCTTTTAGGAAAGGTAACTGGAATATCTGCTTTAGTGCAAACAAAATGTTTCTCGTTGTCTGTTTTCAGCAGTTTAAAACAGTTTGTTCCATTCTCTGGCCTGTAATATTTCCATTTGGGTGATGAATCACACTCTGCTAATTTACATTTCCCCTTAGCAAAAACTATTGTACCTAATCTTCCTAAATTGTCACATGAATATGCAATCGTCCAATGTTACCAAAAGGATAGCTTCAGTGGCACATTTTGTGTATTATTTTAATCTTGGTTTCTTTCCAAAGAGATGTTATAAAACTAAGAGCAAATGAAAAACTTTTTATTCAAAACTTGTATGGCCTTGGTTATTAGTTAAGAAACTTCTGAATGTCAGAGGCCTCGTTATTCATAATATTATTAACATTTGGGAAAAACACTGGCTCCTTTGATAGAAAGGATGGCTTTTCAACAGTAAATATTCATTTGAGTTGCAAAATACATGTCATATACTCTTTTGACAACAACTGTAATGATAAATAAATGCTATGGCTTTATTCATGCTGATATTTGTGGCTAATACTTCAAATTTTTTTTACACTGCAGACATAGAAATTTAATTTTTCAGGTTAAGCCACAATCACTTTTAGGTTATGTCCTAAACAAAAGCAATGAGTCAGTCAGTCATTTCCCTGGGCTTTTCCTGACTTCCAGTAAGTAAGCAGCTTCCATGATGGCGGCAAGCAACTGTTCACTCATTTATAGGTTGAAAATATTATGCAGAAACACTAACGCAGGGGCCTTTTGAACACGAAATCATGCAAGCTCTACAATACCTGCCAGGTAACTATTTCTTATTTCCATGGGGCCATTAGTGCAATGAAGTAACCACACAGGAACACTAATTTTACAATCAGGAATACGAGTAATGCAGAAACACTTCCAGTAATGCACTTCCCTGGGATTCTTCCTCACATTTTTGCTTCTTCAGAATACGCTGGCAGAAGCCAAAGACAAAGGAAAGTTCTGGTCTCTCCCCGGACTAAAACCATGCCCAGGTTGCACATTTCTCCCTTTAAAAGCAGCAAAGAATATGCCTAACACACAGTTAAACTGTGCTCTTCACTGGTTTGATATTTGGCTGTCTCAGAAACACGGAAAAATACCATCATTGCATTTGTAAGGTGAGCATGACGCATGCTTCTTACAAGAAAGACAAAAGAACTGCAACACTCCTTTACAAACAAACAAAAGCCAAAAAGACTCCTATACTTTTAGGTCTAAAATGCAAATAAAATATTGCAAGTTTTGAAAAGCTGTCAAGATATTTCTTCTGAAGACATGTTTATAAGAAATATCAAATCTCCCCTCACAGCCTGGAATATTCAGTCTTGCTTCCAGCAGAAGCTAGAAATAAAAAACTTTCTCATGTGTGTTACACAATTTGCTGAATATACAAATCTCTAATCTCCCTTCTGCTGCAGGTTTTTGTGAAAACAAGCAGGCCAAAATACTCCTCTAATCTATCTGCTCTAAAGAACTTGCTCTCAAATCATGTTGTGAAGGAAAACAAATGCCCCTGAACTGCATCTACAGCATCATCTACAGGTCACTGTACCATGAAGTCGATACTAAAAGTAGCTCATTCTGACCAGATATTTTAGATCTTTCTCTTTTTTTCTATGTGTTTCATTTGGGTTGGTGATAGCAGAAGTGCCAGACACTTCACGCCTGAAGAATTTCAAGATTACCATTGCACGTCTGGCATGTGAGAGAGTCTGCCAAGGACAGCATCATCATTCAGGAGCTATTTGAAAATTTCTACCATTTACTTCCAGTGAAACCTGCAGAACAACGAAACCTCATTTTATTTTATTGATTCTGTAAGGATAACTCTTGAGCCACCCTGTACGTACATATGGTGCTTCACCATCTCTGCCCAAGTGGTATAAACACCACCAATCATCCCAGAGACGCATGCAGCACAGATATATCCTCAGGAGCAGGGAGCAATGCTCAGCGATTGCTCCAGAATAAAGGCTGCGCTTCAGCCACGCGCAGCTGAGAGCTCCCTCGCTTTCCTTCTACTTTGCCAATCGCGGCTCCTCCGAGCACCACATCTGTTTTGCACATACCCGTTACAGCCGACACCTGCTGCGAGCTCTGCACGTGCATGTTGAGCTTGGTGCATCCCAGCAAACACAAACACGCCGATGCTCCGTGGCTTCGGTGCCTCTTGGGAAGCTGGAGGAGGAAAGCAGGCTGCCACCGTCAGGAGAAGCATCTGTCTCCTCCGAGGGAGCCTCCGAACGCAGCCTGCATGGATTATCCCAACACGCTACGCATGACCCCTGGGCCATGGCACACGGATGGCTGATGTAATCACACACATGGTTTAAAATATCTTCTCATACCCAAGTACTTCACATCAGCAAAATACAGAGTTCAAACCAGCACAAACACACGAGGATGCACTCACTCACTCTGAAGAAAATGTGAAACTTAATGTAACAAGAGAATATGCACATGCAGGAGCGGGGGCTAAATACCCTATTAATAACCCACGAAAGACACTGACTTCAACTATAATGATAATTAATCAGAACTTTCTCCCCCCGAGACTGGCTTCTGTTAATGACTGCTGATCTTGTTCTCACTACCCAAACACGTTTAAAATTAATCTGGAAGATGAGAGAATCCTTACTCAAAGAGGAAGGATAAAACAGACTTCAGACAGTTTAAGATTACAGTCTATAAAGCTTAACTGATGCATATCAAAACAGCAGTCCCAATTTTAACACGTGGCATGGCCTCTGGCAGAGAGTCAATTTAACCAGTGGGTTTCCTGAGGAAATTTTACATGTACAAGCTGCAAGTTTATGACCACATACAGGAAGTAATTAAATCTTTCTTAACTGAACAATGGCAAAACCAGGTCTACTAGCATTATTTATGAAAAAAGACACCGTAAATCATTTATTTCAGCTCTAAATATGCAGCTCTTTCTGATTTGATACACTGCTAGAATCCCTCCTCTTCTCTTTAGCTGCTGTGCATTGTATTTCCCTACTCTTTGCACAGAAAGGCACTGCATTGACTTCTAGCTCTCTCGGGGGCAGGGACAAGAAAGTTTGCACAACCACCAGAAAATTTCCATGGAAAACAAACACTGAAGAATTAAGAGAAGACAAATGGCAAATTGCTTTTAAGTTGTTGTGCTTTGTTTTTATTTGCTGTGTTTGTTCTTATTTTTGTCCCTCAAACTCAGAGCTGTTTCTACCAAATCCACAAAACTATGTTATTCAGCAGGGTTTCTGCTCATCCGTCAGAGTTCGTTTTCCTAACAAGCTCAATCCGCCATCACCTTTAGGCTAATCATTTGCCTCGGTAAAAGCCTGGTTGGGAGCACTTCACCCCCCTGCAGATGTGTCAGCCGTACTTTGGCAGAAGGACGGCACAGTGAAAAGTGAGGAAAAGGCAGAGACCACTTCCTTCAGCAGCAGCGCCTCTCTGTGCAGCGGGCATGTTAAACCCTCCTGAAACGGCATGGATCCCAACAGGGACCACGCTGCTGTGGGGCACTCTTCAAACAGTCACTGCACCACAGGTTGTGGTGCTACAGAAGCAGGAACAAAAAGAAAGACAAAACACAGTAAGGATTTTGCCCTTCAAAACGTTTGCCGCTCCTGGTAGGGGGAGGTAAAAGAGACAGCTGCAGCTTCTTGTTGTTAGAGCGAAAGGACAAAATTAAGATGTCATTATAACAAAATTTAACTGTTTTAATTCGCAGCCCTAGCCACATGCTGGGCTAGTGATACTTAGCACTTCATCGTTTTCATCTGTACACACAACTTTTCAATTACCATCCCTGGAAACACAGTCGTAGCTTTCAGCCCCTGGGCTTATTTGACATAAAGAACCTAGCACTCAGCCTTGCTAAATTCACCATCCAGGAGACAGTAACCTTTTAAAGCAGAATGCCCTCTCAGAGCAGGTAAGATGTTTGCTTCCTCTGCTACCATGACTGCTTCAAAAGAACAGAACAGAAAGGTCAGCTTGGGCTGCAGAGCTTTTGGTTGCTGATGCCAGGGGGGTGACAGGAACAAAGGTGCCAAGAAGGACTTGCTCAAGTAGCACCTGGGCAGAAGCAGCCTACAAAGGCAGGTGAGACATGCAGAAAAGCACTTTAATGAGGATTCTGTAACACCGCTGTACTGGCAGTAACACGAGCTGCAGCAACCCCCCTGATCCGGCAGCCCCGCTGAACCACAGTGACCGTTCCAAGCACTGCCTTCAGCATGGCAGCCGCAGCTTGCCCGCGCTTAGCCACCTGCCCCAGTGCTTTCACAAAAATAAACACTGCTCCACGCACCACATGGCAGACACACAGCTCAGGAAGGAAATGAGAGAGGCACAGATGTTCATGAAAAACTGCACATGAGAATAAGCAGCCTCAACACTGGAACAGACCCCCAAACTTCAGCGCATCTTTCAAACCACTCATCACATAGGGCAGAAAGAAGCTTGCAGTCCCACTGCGAACCCACACCAATGTATCGCACTGCTCCATCAGCATCTCCTTCTGCCTGCGAAGCCGACACGTAGCAGCATTGCCTTAGTTGCTAGCACGCGTTTTCCATAGCAGTTTCACCATTATTTGGTGTTTTTTTGTAGTGAACAGTATGGCTCAATTCCAGTGTCATTAAATATAATCCGCAATTTGTTCATCAGGACATTGTAGTTCTTTCCTAATTTTGCCCTGTAAACGATCCATTACGAAGGAAGATATTTTCATAGTTGTGATCTTCTATGAATAGGATCTGTAAAACAGACATTAAATACCACTGAAAAACGTAAGAGGATTAAGGGGAAAGGTGACAGTAAATTTACACCTTTGAGTCACTGCTTTTCAAGTGGCAAAATTACAACACTAGACTTTGAAAATAGCTCCTCAAAAATGAAGACATAAGGAAACTAATCAAAGTGCTTTATTTGACCTTTTCAAATCTGCTTGAGAAAAAGATAGAATCAAATCACCACTGGATTTCACATAAAGCGTGTAAAAACATCACATTTAATGCATCTCTCTTCCTTTGCTTGCGGTCCAGAGCCATGTTCTGACACCGCTATACACCAAAACACAAACAGCAGCTAACAGATAATGGGGCTTGGGGCTTTCTCGTTTCACAAAAACATATTTATAACAGAAGAATCAATTGCCCATGGCTGCTTGCCACCACACTGATTAAGGTAAGATTTTTTTTTTCCCACATCCTAATCACTTTGGAGCAAAGTTAAAACACCCAGATATGGACTTAACTGGCCACAGCCCCACTGGAGAGGCGAGAGCTGCCAACGCTGAAAGTCCTTGTGGACTTGCTGGCAAGTTACGGGGCACAACGCTTCCCACCAACAGCCTCCAGCGCTGCAGCCAGGGATCCTTTCGGAGTCAACAACAACTAATTCTTTAAAGCAGCCGAGGGAAATTGTACCACTTGAATTCACCCTCTATTATTCTCCTAATTCCTCTCCTTTCCCTTCAGGATATTGAAGAACTTGCATATCCCTCATGCTGGCAGGGTTGGTCAGTACAAAAATATTTATATCCAAATCAATATAAAAGTATCAGCATAGATTTACCAGTAGCTACACCAAGTCTGATGTGTGTGTATATATATATATATATATATATATGTACATACAAACACACAGAGTGATACATACGTATGTATATACGTATATATATAAATCACTGTGGCTCTACCTCAATATAAAGAGGTGCAAAACCAGGCTGTATTACATGATCTCGAACAAAATTGCTAAAACAGTTTAAGGCCCTTAGCCCCTTTTCTCAGCACTTTGCCCAGCAGCAACTGGGCGCTGAAACAAGCTACTTCTCCAAGAAACAGCACTTAAAGAGAGCAGAAAAGATTTCCTCTTCGTGGCAAGGCAGCAGTTAGTAACATGGCACGTACAAGGGGGTCATAACTGCCAAATCTGGGAGTAGGAAAACCACAAACAGATCACTGAGTATGAAGAGAAAATGGCATTTAGGGATGAAAGTAATTAACCTCTCAATTCTGGAACAATTTTGCAAAATATTTACAATTTTTTTCGATTAGTAGTCCAAAAGCAGCAGTATCAGTGTAGCATGACTGACAGCTTCACTCTGGGAAGCTTTTACACCAGTATCTTTTTTGAAATTGCAGAGTTATCTGCTCACAACCATTTTCAGAAGCACACTGAGGTGTTCAAGCTCCCTGGCCCACCACTAAGTATTTGATGCATCTCTGAGAAATACTAACTCTCACAGCACTTCAAGAAACCGAGAAAACCAGTGTGTCAGACAGAGACAGAAGAACCGCTGTGAGTGAAAAAGTTAGAACAGAAAATCTATGTGACCTCATGCATAATATACCAATTTTCAGCAAGGCTGATGGTCCAAAGATCAGTAACTGTAAAGATATTACCCTTCTGATGGATACTCTTTCAATCTGGGATGAGGAAAGGCTCCTCTGTGAACCTGGAGTTCATTAGGAAACAACTTGTCCGGTAAGAAGGTTCAGAAGGAAGAATTAAAGATCTGACTATTGCATTTACATTTTAGTACCCAAATGGTATGTGACCTGAGGAATATGGTTAATCCAAATGGTCTCCCATGATTTTGCTGAATCTTATGTATCTGAATTTTTACATCTCAAAAAATGGAGAAAGGCTAAAATGCAAAACACTCATGTAAAACTTCTACTGATCAATGAAATACCTTTATTTTTGTTAGCTTATCACATGACAGAAAAAAAAAAGTCTGAACTCCACAAAAATCTAAAATCCTCAACTGATTTTCTAGGTTTTTACTGCTACAGATTACAAAATGGATATAGTAACACAGTTTGCCAGATGAAAACAAACTTGTTTGGTATAAAAAAGCACACAGAAAATATTTATTTAAAAAGCAACAAAAATAAAAAATGTAGACTTTTCAAAGAGAAATAAAAAAAAAGATTGATGAGATTGAACTTCTGTGAACATTATTTATAGATCATGTTAAGAAAAGCTGGATTCACAAAATTGAAAACCTGAAGGGTCATTTAGATTACAGTAAGATTTTTTTTTGCATACTACAGCTCATCAGAGTTGGGTAATCATTATTTTAACCTAACCTAATTTAGGATGTT